ATCTCATTAATTCTGGACTTAACACACTGTACATATTGTGGGATGAATATCAAGCCTAAAAGCATATATATACATATATATGTAGGGGCGTTCAAAAAAACCGACCAACTGATTAAACTGAAAAAACCGAGAAAAAATTAATCGAAAAAACCAAACCGATAGAAAAAACCGAATAAACTGATTAAAAAATAAAAAAAATCATCTAGTCCGGTTCGGTTCCAGTTTAAAAAGGCTTAAACCGATTAAACCGGACCAAACCGAACTAATTTATTTAAATCTAAAAAAATATAAAAAAACTTTCTAAACCTAAATAATAAATACCCTAACCTAACCCTACATTTCCAACCCCCCACCTTTCCAGCCACCTCCATTTCCTTTCCCTTTCTTTTTTTTCACTTTCCATTCCAGCCACCCCACCTATCCCTCCCTCCCCGCTCTCCCCCCCTTCCCCTTCCCTTTTTCTTTTTGCCCTTTACATTCCAGCCAGCAGCCCCCCCACCTATCCCTCCCTCCCTACTCTCTCTCTCTCTCCCCCCCTTCCCCTTCCCTTTTTCTTTTTGCCCTTTACATTCCAGCCAGCAGCCACCCCACCTATCCCTCCCTCCCTACTCTCTCTCTCTCTCCCCCCCTTCCCCTTCCCTTTTTCTTTTTGCCCTTTACATTCCAGCCAGCAGCCACCCCACCTATCCCTCCCTCCCTACTCTCTCTCTCTCTCTCCCCTTCCCCTTCCCCTTTCTCCTTTTCCAGTCACCCCACCCCACCCCTCCCCCCCTTTCTCTCCTCTGTGCACAAGGAAGGCTTAAAGCAACTCATTTTCTCTTATATTGTTGCCTTTCTACTCTCTGCTATATTTTATGGTAGAAAACTTGGATAAAATCCTTGTTTTTAGTTTTATTAACATGCAGTTGTGTTAATGAGGTTCCGGTAGTTTGCGGGAAGCTATTGGAATCTTTGTTAATAAGTAGTTGTGCTTGCTTGGATAGATCTACTGGTTGTGATTCAGCTAAGGGAGATCTTTCAGATCTCAACTGAAGGGCTTGGATTCAAAGTTTTCAACAACGATTTTTTTGAATGTGATTCGGCCAAGTTTGTCCAATGATTGTGATTCAGCCAAGTTTTTTCTTATTTAATTGGTTTTGGTTTTTAAGGCTAAAAAACCGACCCGAACCAAACAAAATCAGTTCGGTTTGAACCGGTTCTTGGTTCGGTTCGGGTTATATTAACAAGGAATAGTATTTTCTGGTTCGGTTGAATTTTTATATTAAAACCGGACCGAACCGGACCGTGAACACCCCTACATATATGCATCATGGCGTAGTCATGACTAGATACATTATTTGCGTTTCGATCGAGCTGATCGTAATTTTTTAAAGCATTAAAAAATAATAAAAAAGTGTTGTTAGTAAATTTAAAAAAAAAAAGATTAACAGTTTCACATCACATAAAAAAATGGAAAAAAATATCAACCATCAATCTCTAGAAATCTAAATAATAAAAGATAAAATTAAAAAATAAAATAAAATAATATCAACAAACTTGAGTGATGAAATTAAAAAAAGAATCAAGATTATAGATCCAATTATAAAATTAAAAACAAATTAAAATTTGATAAAGGTGCCAAAAATAAAAATTTAAACCAAAACATTGAGGGTTGAAACCTAAAATACCATCAAATATTAAATTGAAGGGTCACATTGAAAATTTCTATGTCTATAAATTCATAAAAAAAATTTAAAATAAAAATAAAAATAAAATTCTAGTGAATGAAGATTAAATTTAAAAAAATCAAAAAATTAAAATTAAAATACATCACCTGAAGGAGCCAGGGCTTAGGGCCACCTAGGTGTCAAAGCATTTAGAACAAAGCATGAAAAATATTTGATATTTATATTTAATTAAAAAAATTCCTCATAAAACACTAAATTGAAAAAAGCCTAAAAAAACTTTAGATAACCATGTTTTTTTATAATAAATGGAAAATCCCTTGGAATTGAAAAAAAAAAGATGTATGAGGGTGAAACTAAAAAAATAAACTAAAACATAAAGAAAAACCAAATAAATTTAAATGAAACATCTAAATTCAGATTAATTTACTAAAATTATAAACTATTAAATCTTAAACTTAGACTCAACTAAAAATCTAAATATAAAACAAACTTAATTTTAAAAAATAAGATGAATTACAACATGAAAAATACTAAAATACTTTATAATTCTCTTAATCATACAACGTACCTAAATAATTTTATTATCACAGTATACAGTAATTCATATGCAGAATTGCATTGGAATTCACGCGTGATTTAACTTACTTTATATATATATATATGGGAGATGATAACGTTATTAACGAGAAGAAGAAAAGGAGAGACAATGAAAAGAGTGCACCAAAACATATCATGCCATCCGAATCAGACTCTCATCTTGTGATTGGTTCAACACACTCCTAGTCTTAGATTTTCGTGGGTGTCCCCCCACCCTATTCTTTTTGGTTTGCGTTCATGTGTTTTCTTCCTCTCGTTCTTTTTATTGACCATACTGATTTCGTAAAACACACACACATACAGTTTCTGATTTTTAGAAGCCCTAAAAAGAGTAAACTCCTGATTCAATCCTTATATTTTTAATATATTTTCCCTACTTCATTATAATCAATATTGATTTGATCAAATCCTATCAGAACATCTTGCCAATATTTTTTATTTTACCAAGTTGAAAAACATCATATGAAAATCTACTTCTGTCTCGTTGTCCATAATCTTTTCAACATGCTTTAATTGTGGGTATCTATAATGTTTTTATAAATGTTAATACAATATTAGACCATGTAACTCAACAACCATATTATAAATTATATCATGAAAACAAAACAAGAACAGCTGAGCCATTCACTGTCTGGCCTTGTTGATTGTCCCACAAATACACTATGGACTCAACTGTTAACAAACAGTTAAACTGTCACTGAGTGGCTTTCTACTGCCCTTTCTTCTTCTTTTTTCCTAGCTTACCTAGTGCGCTATATGCGCACTAATTCTTCAATCTTCTGTGTTTTACTATCTTGTGTCATCCTCCCTTCTGAGGTGTGATGTTGACCTCTTTTTTTCTTCTTGTTTTTTGACATTCACCACGCCTCCATCGGTGTGCATTGAATGCCTTTGCTGCTGCTCATCTCCCTGGGCGTCTCTTGCAGGTGTACGTGGGGCTGCGACTCCTATGAGCTTGGATTTTATGGTCGATCGTGCGCCAACTTTCAGTTGGATCTCATATATATTTTGATCCGTGTTCTTTTTTTCTTTCCATGTCTGTCTGTGATGATTTTCGCCCTTTCTTTCCATGTTTGTCTGTAATGATTTTCGCTCTCTATCCGTCCTTCCTTGACCGAATAAGTACAACTGCTCTGCTTCTGGCATGTTACTATAAGAAACTTCTATAATTATGTAAGAAAATCAATTACTAATGTATTTCATATCAAATAGTTTTTTTGATATATTTATAAAGAATATACAAAATTTATATTAATACAAAAAATGACCAAAGCATTGTTATCAAAATGAATCATTGATTGAACCAGTTTAAGGATGCAAACCTTTTATGCATCGATCCACTAAGAACCAACTTTAACCAAACTTAAACGGACACATAAAAACTCAAAGGAAAAAAAATCCTTTTTCTTGGTATTAAACCCTAGGCCTCATGCATTAAAATAAAAGTTATTTGTCCACAAGCCACAATATATTTGTTACATAATAAGTGACATGTTAGACTAAATGTTAAATTATCGATTGAATCATTAGACCAATAGATCAACATTTTTGTCTGTTCAAACTCTGTTTTTAATCTAATAACACTGATTTGAAGGTCTTATTCGATCGATGCATAGGCATGGTTACTAGGAAATAAAAAGTATATATTCTAATTTGAGAGGTGTAGTTTAACTAGTTAAATTTTTAAATTTATTTTTTAAAAATTATCAATTCAAGTCCTACAAACCTTAAGACCATTAAAAACTTATATAGTCGTTAATTTCAGGACCCATGAAATTAATCAAGATACACGCAAGTTAGTCCAAACACTTATATTAATAGATAAATATATATATATATATATATTATTAATATCTAACTCACTGCTTATCAAATTAGATAGAAAATGTTTGAAGTATTTTCGACTTATATGTTGAATTTCTTAAACTTTTTGTTTGGTTTTAATTTATCTATTATTAAATTAATTTTTCTTTATCTAACTTAAAATATTTGAAAATAAAAGATATATTATTGTAGAATAAGCAGTAATTAAAAATGATTATGAAATATATACGTACATACAATCTTCCAGAGTTTTACTTCAAAATACATCAAAGTTAAACATGTTCTTAAAAAAATCCATCAATATTTTTATTTATAAAGAAATTATTCTCTTGCATCCCTCTTTTAGACTCACACTTTGAATGGCAATGTAGAGAAAACATATTTATTTTATGAAATAAAGCGATATTATCTTAAGCAAATAAATGCAGCGTCTCCTTGAGTCAGCCACCATAAGCGCGCTGTCCATTTTCCACAATTATAATATTGCTGATGTTATTGCAATTCATGTCTAAAAAGATAGCAGCGGTGATCGGAAACAATTGGAACTTTTAATTGATCTCGAATTAGTGGAAATCAGGCTGGTCTAATTAGAAGCAACATCTGTGAGCTTGTATATGATTAGCCAATCAAATTCACTCTTTTTAAAATTTAATAAAGCACCGAGTACCTAAATTTTGTGTTTTAAAATAATTAATATATATATATATATATAAAGGGCGAATGAGCATATAAATAGATAGAATAAACACCGAGAGAATATCGTATACATCCACGGACACACCGGCAGCATACATGTACATGTATATTTAGGAGGACTCCACCATACTTAAGAGCTAAAAATCTTATATAGAAATGAATAAAAATAAATGTACTTACTGTCCAAAATATTACTCGGTCATGCAATTGCAGGAAGCTCCCCTTTTATGTTTGAAATGTGAACGTCCCCACTCTCATCCACTTTAAATTCCCAAGCCTTTCAAAACCTTCATGAGAACATGTTGGCAGAGAAGCCATCACATCCGGTGGCGGTTTGATGATTTTCCGGCGAATCTTGGCCACTATAACTTTCAAGTGGACGAAGCATAGAATTATTAGTACAACTGCAAAGGATATTTTAGAATGTGCTGTCGAGCATCGGTACGAGCACGTCAATCATATTCCTTCTTTTTTTTTTTTTCCCATCCCTTAAATAATGTGATTACGGGCTGCCATCAAACACATTCTCAAGTCTCAACAAAACTAGCTGCACAAAAAAACTTCACCTAGTTACAACCTCTTTCATTTCTTTTGTTTTCTCTAGGAAAACATAAGTGACAGGCTAGGGTGAGTTGTTGAGGATGGTGAAGTTTTCTAAGCAGTTTGAGGGTCAGCTTGTGCCTGAGTGGAAAGAGGCTTTTGTTGATTACTGGCAACTCAAGAAAGACCTCAAGAAAATCCATCTCCTTAATAACAACAACAAGAACACCCTCATCAAGCACAGTCATCATAAATCTTTGTCTAGCAACATCCTTTCCTCTCTTAAGGGGGAGTTCTCTATATTTGGTCATCAACACAAGGACCATGAAGCCATTCATGTAGTCCTCTCTACCCCTAACATATACATGCATTACTTCTTTGATATACTTGACAAGAATTAATGTGATGAATATTGGTGTCTAACAGGTTCACAAGAAACTTGCATCTTCAGCTAGTAAAGGTGATATGTACGAGACAGAACTGGTTGAACAATTTGAGGATAGTGATGCTGCCAAAGAGTTTTTCTCATGCTTGGACTTGCAACTTAACAAAGTTAACCAGTTTTACAGGACTAAGGAGAAAGAGTTCTTGGATAGAGGGGATTGCTTGAAGAAACAAATGGATATTCTTGTTGAGCTCAAAGCTGCATTCAAACAACAGCGCGACAAAGCTGCTAATTCTGCTCAGGATTCCACTGAGGATGCCTCTATTGATTGCAGAATCTCTTGTGGTATAAATGACACATTCCAACTTTGGCTTGTGATGAGGATAGTCAATTTTTCAAACTTACGTCATTTAATTAAAGATAAAATATAATGTGACATTTTCTTATCCTCATTTAAATCTGCATATGCACTTACCATTAGGACTCGCATCCATATTTTTGCTCTCGTGACTCGGAAGATGATAGTTCATGCACAACACAAGTGCATTTGACACTTAATGTTTCAATTCCTATGTTGTTCGAAATATGGGCCATAAAAGATCAGTACTAGCAGAAAAGTACCCCCAGGCATCATAATCAAAATTTAGCATGTAGGAATTGTTAAACTTGTAAAACTGTAGCAGAGAAAAAAATATAGAAATAGCTTAATTAAGTGGGACTAGTATTAGCATTCACGTGCAAGAGTTTATTTTACTTTCTTTAACTTAAAATAATCTGATATCACTAAATTCATGATCTCTATTCTGTATCATTTTTTTTCTTGGCTGCAGAGGAAGATTCAGTGACAGACAGAATAGAACAAGAACAGATTCAGGACGAAAGCACAGATGGCTTGGAGAAAAATGAAGTCCTAGACTCCCCAAGATCAGAAGAGATGGGAAAATCAACAAGGATCATGAGAAGAGAGGTTAGCAAACTGAGGACACATTCGGGCCGTGTTTTCAATTGCCAAGGGAAGAATTTAAGGATAAACATTCCTCTAACAACACCTTCTCGTACTTTCTCGGCGATCAGTTACCTAGTTTGGGGAGATTTAGTTAGTCAGTCCTCCAAGAAATGCAACCCTGAAGGGAGCAAGCTGCATATCAACAAAACAAAGTTGCATCATGCAGAGAAGATGATCAAAGGAGGTTTCATAGAACTCTATAAAGGGTTGGGATATCTTGAAACTTACAGGTGTTTAATTGAAGGATTGCTTCTTTTTTTCAAGAAAAGGCAAAAAAAAAAAAGACACTACTGCGTTGTTGATATTTCATTTGGATATGGAGAAGCTTACTTGTCTGCAATTAATGATGTGGTTTCAGGAACTTGAACATGCTTGCTTTTATAAAGATTTTGAAGAAATTCGATAAAGTACATAAATGGGTTACCTTTTAAACCTCTTTTAACATTTCATTTTGGCCTGCATACATATCTAATGGCGAAGAGTTTTTCTGGGTTTTCTTTTTTCTTTTTTATAGGTAACTGAAAAACAAGTGCTTCCCATCTATCTAAAAGTTGTCGAAAGCTCCTATTTTAACAGTTCAGACAAGGTAAATTCCGAATCTTAAAAACTAATTAATGTTAAATATCTGGTCCCGTTATGTATAGCCAAGTTGCAGAAAAAAATATTATAGGATGTTTTCCGACAATGTCAAGTGGCCAATGATCTTGCTTCTCATGTCTGCACTGACGGGTAGTCCTTAGATTTGTGAAAATAGAACTTGGATATGCTTGTTTGTCACTTCAAATTTTGTGGCCAAAATGTTTTTGTGAATCTGTTAGTCTTGCTCATTAGTCTCAGAAACGACAGGTAATGAACTTAGCAGATGAAGTTGAGGATCTATTTATCAAACATTTCGCTGAAGAAGACAGAAGAAAGGCCAGAAAATATCTTAAACCTCATCAACATACAGAATCACACTCTGTGACCTTTTTCATCGGTGAGTTTCTTAATAGTAAGTTTGACTGAATTAGTCTAAAACTAAAATTACGGGATAACATTTTTTAAGTTACCTTCCTTTTTTGATCAATCATATGGGTAAAGAGCTTTGTTCTTGTTCACTTTGTGACATGATACAGGGCTTAAAGAAACATAAATATGGACCCATCAGGCCACTGGGATTTCAAATGAAGGGCAGTGCCTGGTTCACTTTATTTGGGTGGATGATAAAGCATAGGTCCCATGTCATACCATTATCATCTTAGATACAAATTTGACCCGTACAAGTATCGAATATTATGAATACTATTAGCTCCTAAAAAAGACCACTATTTTTCCTTGAGCAATAAAAGCTATGGTGTATTTTGCGTGGACATTTTTGAATGAGCACCCAACACGCATATCAGGCATTATGACTCCCTTGATCTTCTATTGGATAGTTAAATTTCCTTCTTTGATCTGAAAAAATAAGAAATTATGATCCTTGCATTGCATAATATATCAGATACTGGTTTTCTGTGCGTACAAGCATAATGTTACTCTCGTCTTTTAAACTGGTTTGCACAGCTTTTACGCGATACCTTCCAACATACCTTGAATGCAAATTTAAATGAATTTTCTGAATCTAATTCGCATATTACCGCAACTTCTTCGACAGATAATAATGAGAATCCCATGTTCAATGAGTTTTAAATAGATGAAAATTAACCTCATGTGGGTGAAAATATTCAGGACTGTTCACCGGGAGCTTCATAGCCCTCCTTGTTGGTTATGTAATAATGGCTCGTATCACGGGGATGTACAGACAGCAACCAGATACAGCATACATGGAAACTGTCTATCCTGTGCTTAGGCAAGTTTCCTCAACTTACTCTCAATACCATGTTTGAAATTCCTAAAGAATGGTAGCTTACAGAAAAAAGGGGGACTTTGTCATTTGCAGCATGTTCAGCTTGATGTTCCTGCACTTCTTTTTGTATGGTTGCAACATTTTAATGTGGAGGAAATCCAGGATAAATTATAGCTTCATCTTTGAGCTGGCCCCCACAAAGGAGCTAAAGTACAGAGATGTATTCTTGATATGCACCACATCTATGACTGCTGTGGTGGGAGTCATGTTTATTCATTTGTCACTTCTTACGAAACGACATTCGTATTCCCAAGTTCAAGCCATCCCAGGCCTTCTATTATTGGTAATTTGTTGATTGAAAATCTGATAGAGTTTATCCACTATAAGTAAATTCTTTTGTTTTGAGTCCAATTCTTGGTTTTGTCAATTACTAAAATTTGTCACTGCTTTATGCGCAGAGCTTCCTGTTATTGCTCGTGTGCCCCTTCAACATTTGCTACCGATCAAGTCGTTACAGCTTCCTTTGTGTGATAAGGAACATCATTCTATCACCTCTCTACAAGGTAAACATTCTACGAAAGTCTCAAGCAGCCTTCACTTGAAATTTTCATTTGGTTCCTGTGCTGAAACGAATTTTAACCAAATCATCTATTTAACTGCTTCTAATTTTTATCTCCGCAGGTTGTCATGCTGGACTTCTTCATGGCTGACCAGCTTTGTAGTCAGGTTGGTTTCCGTGCTAAATGAAGGCTCCTTGTTGCAAAAGAATATTGAACCTTAATTAACATTTCAGTACTGGAAGTCAAAATGTACTGACTGCTTCACTGATGTAATTTGTAATTGAACAGGTGCCAATGCTTCGGAACCTTGAGTATGTGGCATGCTATTATTTAACCGGGAGCTACAAAACTCAGGACTTTGGCTACTGCATGAGGGCTAAGCATTACCGTGATCTTGCTTATGCAGTATCCTTTATACCCTATTACTGGAGAGCAATGCAGGTACAGTATAAAGAAATCTGCTCGTCTTCCTCAAAAAAGAAAAAGAAAGGAAAGAAAGGAAAAGAAAAGCTCTCCAGCCCCTTGATTAAGTGCCAATCACTTGCTTGCTTATAGTTCAGTTTATCATTTTTAAACAATATAACTGTATCTGATTGATACTTTCTTATGCTTAATTCGTCGGTGCAGTGTGCTAGGCGATGGTTTGACGAAGGACAGATAAATCACCTTGTCAATCTAGGCAAATATGTATCAGCAATGTTAGCTGCAGGAGCCAAAGTGGCCTATGAGAGAGAAAAGAGTGTAGGATGGCTGTGCCTTGTCGTAGTTATCTCAAGCGCTGCAACAATTTACCAATTGTATTGGGACTTCGTAATGGATTGGGGTTTACTCCAAATGAATTCCAAGAATCCCTGGCTAAGGAATGAATTAGTGCTTCGTCGAAAGTTCATTTACTACTTCTCCATGGTACCTGTTAAAATCCCCTTAATCACTCTCTTTTTAAGTGGAATGACACCAGTTCCGATTAGGAATTTAACTGCCAGCAAAGCTAGAATCTTTCACGGATATTGGTACCAAACAAGTATTCTGATTTCTGATTAGACATCCAACTTGCCCATTTTCATTTTAGTTATAAGATGATCAAGATAAGATGTTCTTAGAAAGAGCACAACGAACATATTCATATCGCAAGTACTGATGGTAGCATTTTACTAAGAAAGTACGATTCCTATCCAATATCAGCCAGGCTGGTACTAGTTAGGCAAGTAAAGAGAACTAGATTTCTGAAATAAGCACACAACAGACGCAGATTGGATTTCCTTTCAAGTTGCAGGTTTAAGTCTTTTGAATTTTAAGTATATTCTAAATCAAACTTTGGACGTTTCTTGCAGGGATTGAACCTTGTTCTCAGGCTTGCTTGGCTACAAACTGTTCTCCATTCAAATTTTGAACATGTTGATTATAGAGTAACGGGACTGTTTTTAGCTTCCCTTGAAGTCATCAGGAGAGGACAGTGGAATTTTTACAGGTAAAACGTTGTCTGAAATTGGATATAGCCATTTGTGAATATGATCATGATAAACTCATTTTAAATTTTTCCTGACATTTCATTAGGTCTTATAAAGTGCAAATTTGTTTTGATGGTCCAGGTTGGAGAATGAGCATCTAAATAATGCTGGCAAGTATAGAGCAGTCAAGACGGTGCCACTTCCTTTTCATGAAGTGGATGAAGAAGACTGATGGCTAATGTCTGACGATGGTCACTGGCGGCAGTTGCTTTCAGAATTCGATTCCGATTTGCTGCAGGGATAGAGAAGGTTCATAGTTGTCCTTGTACCGGTTGTAGCAAGACATCAACTTGGACATAATTGTTCCAGGGATAAAGAAGGTTCATAGTTGTCCTTGTACCGGTTGTAGCAAGACATCAACTTGGACATAATTGTTCCAGGGATAAAGAAGGTTCATAGTTGTCCTTGTACCGGTTGTAGCAAGACATCAACTTGGACATAATTGTTCCAGGGATAAAGAAGGTTCATAGTTGTCCTTGTACCGGTTGTAGCAAGACATCAACTTGGACATAATTGTTCCAGGGATAAAGAAGGTTCATAGTTGTCCTTGTACCGGTTGTAGCAAGACATCAACTTGGACATAATTGTTCCAGGGATAAAGAAGGTTCATAGTTGTCCTTGTACCGGTTGTAGCAAGACATCAACTTGGACATAATTGTTCCAGGGATAAAGAAGGTTCATAGTTGTCCTTGTACCGGTTGTAGCAAGACATCAACTTGGACATAATTGTTCCAGGGATAAAGAAGGTTCATAGTTGTCCTTGTACCGGTTGTAGCAAGACATCAACTTGGACATAATTGTTCCAGGGATAAAGAAGGTTCATAGTTGTCCTTGTACCGGTTGTAGCAAGACATCAACTTGGACATAATTGTTCCAGGGATAGAGAAGGTTCATAGTTGTGTACAGGATTTTCTTCAAGGAAAAGAAAATCATGCACAGATCACCTACCCGAATTTCTTGTTACTCATTCTTGTCAATACTTTCCTTGCCTTCTATCTAGGTCCTGCAAAACACTGGACTGTGTTGAGAAGGAATTTTTTATATCCAAAACTGAAGTAATTTCTTGTTCAATATATCTTTCTTTCTTTCCTTTGTTTGTTCCTGGAGTAATTGATAGCTACTCCACCAAGTCATCTGGGGTGCTTTCCACTGTTCATCACAACCGGCAGAAAATTTGCAGTAATTCTGCAAAACCTTCAGCTAAAAATAAGCCATGTTTAGCATGAAATTGTAACATTACACTGAGACTGGTGAATTCAATGACAGAATAAGATCGTTATGGAATGAGAGGGACTACAGATTGATTTCATTTATAACTTAGCAAACATCATTCCGACAAATAAGATTCAAGGTTTAAACAAGAAGTGGCCGGCACACACAATCCCAATCATAAACTATAGTACGCACCTGGGAGTGCTCATCAATTGAAAAGTACAAGTTTCCTAACATTTTCCTTCTTTCTTTCTTCTTCTTCTTCTTCTTCTTCTTCTTGTTTTTTTTTGATGATTTTTTTTTGTCTGCAAAAAATCTTCCATCCACTTTCAATACCAAACACAAGTTATCTCGTAACATTTTTTTTTTTCGTTTGTTTTAATGTGTTCTTTGAATACTCCAGGCATTCAAACGCCGATCTTAAATTCAGATTTGATGGGATTTTAAACAGGTAATGGGCATTCCTCTTATAACTCCGAATCCCGAAAGCTTGAAGGGAAATAAACGAATTAACTACGCGCAATCCATCCATTGCTCTCTCCTCTAATCCTTCAAACCGACATGTCATACACGAATTATCCGCTCCCGGTAAAAATGTATAAATGGGGAGTCGCGGTGCAGCAATATTTTTTTCGAATAATTTTTTAAGTTTTAAATTATTTATTTTTATTGTTTTAATATGATAATTTTAAAACAATAATAAAAAGTTATTATTTTAATATATTTTGAAATAAAAAACAGAAAAACAAACCACATGCTCAGCATCGTATCAGAATTCAAGATATCAACCGCCATGGCTGCTGCTACCCCCTTGCAATGCAGTTTCTCTCCCGCCATAACTTGTCTGAAATCAAATCTCAAACTCAAACACATTAATTCACTTCTCTGCCCTGACTTTTTACAGACCCATTTGTTTCTCCAACACAAACGCCAGGTCACACTCTCTTACTAAAGTCTCTCCAAATGTTCGAACTTTACTACTATTAAACTCTTAAAAATCAAATCTATCTTAACTCTTACATGTTTTTTGTCTGCTTTCCTTTTTGGGCAGGTTGAGAATGTCTCAAAACAAAAGCAGCATTACCTAAACTGTCGCATTGGTTAGTTGTGGTTTCTGGGTTAGTGGATGGCAATTCTGAGATATACCCAGAAGCAGGATCAAGTGATTTGAATGAGGTATGTGGTTTTTGGTTATTTGATTTTAGCTTCATTTAAAAAAAAAAAAATTGGTTCTCTATATAGGTGTTGGTTGCTATTAGTTTTGATAGATTTGTGTTTAAGTTAGGAACAAAATTTGGTTTTTTTTTTTTTCAGTTGATGAATAACTGTGGTCTTGATGTTGAATTACCCATTTTCTGTTTCTCTGTCTTCCTTGATTTTCTTGCATGTAAATTCATGTTAAGAGGGAATCGATTTTACTTACAAGTAATCTGCATTAGTTTGATGCTTTAACCAAAAACGAAGAGGAAACAGAAATTTCTTAGCTGTGTTTTTGTTCTCCCCCTCATATTCTTTTAGGAGGGTGCAGCCATTGACATAAAACTGCCAAGGAGTTTGCTTGTGCAATTTACTTGTAATCAATGTGGCGAGAGGTGTCAGAGGCTCACTAATCGTTTAGTCTACGAACAGGGACTTGTTTTTGTGCATGTACTCATCTGTTCTAATGGGCTGTTAGAATGACAATTTGTTGCAATATCTTTCTTACCAGTAAGCATTTATCCTGTTATATTAAAGGCCAGCAATGCACTGTCCTTTTGACTTAAAAAGGAAAAGGAAAAAAGAGGATTCAGAATTGATTTTTTATTGGGAAAGTATAATCTGAAACTTCCAATAACAAGCCATTTATGTTTTATGTTCAAACTGAATGCTCCCTAAAGAAATGATACGAGTCAATAGAAATATAAAGAACCTCAAAAGTAATATGAAGCACTAGAAGAAAATTAAAAGCCCATCACTTTTCCATAAGGAAATGTTGTTAATGTTATTAATGATCAACATGTTTTCAAAATTTTCTTAATAAAAATTAACTTAAATATCCATAAGATGTTTCTCAATAACTGTTGGAATAATTGGAGCATATGTGTTTGCCAGGTAACTTATTTAGTATTTTGCATGAGGTTGTTTCCCAAATAACTATATTTATTTGTTCATGGGATTGAACATGGTTGATTCACAAGTTCCTTTCTGCCCAGAGAATTTTTTCAGGAGTGCTATTTTCTTCTTACTTGCTTTTTGGGAAGTTTGCAGAACCTTAATTTGTCCTAGAACATGATAGATACTCTTCAGGGAAGAACAGTTTCTGATGCAAAACTGTGCAACTGAAATTGATTGCTTTTGTGTTTTTATGTTGAAGAGTTACAACATTTTTGTCCATGGAAATTTTCGTATGCTCCTCGTATTATTACTGTTTTCTTGTTTTTAGAACTATGAAGTAAATTTCTTGGCTTGCCTTTATAATACCTGTAATCTGAATTTCACACTGGTCTTGTTTGTACATATAAAATAATCTCTTGCCATCATAAATATAATTTAATGGCTTGGTAACATTTCTAGAAACTGTAGCCTGTAACGACCAGCAAATAGGCAATAGCTAAAACAGTCCTTGTTAACATTCCGGCCCTTCCTTCATGGTGATACAATGAATTTCCTCCATTCTGCAGGTCAGAAAAGGCAGGTTACATAATTTAGAACAATTTGAGACAAATTTCTATCATTTCTGGAATGGAAATATTAGCGAATTCAGTTAGTGGTTTAGAATGAAAAAAAAAATTGTTTGAAAACATACTGGATTTGGGGATGGTGCAGGAGCTGTGTCCTCAGATACTGTTGTCACTGTAGGTGGGGCTGGGGGGCTGGGGGGATTTGGTGTTGGAGCTGGTGCATGATGATGCCTCTTGTGCTTGTGCTTGTGTTTTCTTTTCTTCTTGTGCTTATGAGGAGCTGGAGCTGGTGATGGGGCTGGTGGTGGAATAGCTGGTGCTGGTGCTGGAGTGGCTGGTGCTGGTGATGGAGTGGCTGGTGATGGTGCTGGTGTTGCTGGTGCTGGTGCAGGTGCAGGTACTTCCTTAGCTGGTGATGGTGCTGGTGTCTCTTTTGCAGGGGCTGGTGCTGGAGCTGGAGACACTTGTGGTGGTGGTAAAGAAGGTGGTGGTGTAGCAGGTGATGGTGGCAGTGCTGGTGTTTGTATTGGAGCTGCGGTTGGAGGACTTTGCAGTGGTTGTGGAGGTGGAACTATTGGGCTGGTAGCTGGTGCTACTTTAGGAGACGGTGGTGATATAGGAGTGGTTGCAGGTGGGAGTGTCATTGCACTTACTGGTGATTGTGCTGGTGTGGTTGAAGGTGGAGGCGTATTGGTTGTAGGTGCAGGTGTAGCGGGTGAAGTTGTTGATGGTGATGCTGCTGGTGTTTGGGCATTGGTAATAGCTAATGGGAAACTCAGACAAGTCACGATGAGAGCCCAAAGCACCAAAGCCATTTTGTTGTGATGAGAAGTTACAGGAAGTAATATGTTATATAGAGTTGTGGGAAATAGGTTTTTAATTTTAATAAATGTTTGGTGGAATGTTAAGAGGGGGAGATGTAGTCTTTATTTGAATGCTACATCCCTTCCAATGATTGGGAATGATGTCTTTCACGGCCAGGTCTGCATTTAGCTGGTCGCATCAGTCAGATTTGGGGCCAAAAATATAGTAATCTGTAGAAAGATTTACTGCTTTCAAGTTTTAGGTATATTGGTAACGCTGCTGCTGATATGATTGTCAATAGTTGTGCTGTATTTGATTTTTGGTAGTGCATCAATCAGCAGCCAAAGAGACTCGTGTAGTCGATCTGTTATGCAGTTTGAACTCATCAAGAACCTTAGCACAAAGAGGGAAGGCTGAAGTTTCTTTTTCTTCACGGTGGGACCTCGTAATTAGGTAATATGTGTTTGCTTCAATAGAATCTTGAACCTAACAGAAATTTGAATCACGAATCACGAGTTTTTATGATCATAAGTAATTACCACGATCTTTTATTTGTTGTGCCAGAAATGTCTAGAAAAATGATGGGTTGGAAATGAGAGGGAGGAGATGCAGACGGCAAACTTGGCTAACCTTTCACCTATATAGGACGGACCATGATGTCGATCCTAACACAATCTTTACATTGGTAAGCAGTCACTGTCCAGTTCAAGGAAAGAGGGCAAGGTAGGGTGCCTTTTTCTGGTTTCTTTTTTGTTTCCCTCAGCTGAGGACGTCTTGCTGTTTAAGGACAAGAATTGCTGGTGATATTTCTCTCAAGGCATTGCATATTCTTTTATCCGTTAGAATTTGTAAAATTATAATCCAGTATACAATCCACGACTTCAGGCTACTTGTTGCAAGATTCTAGTAACCCTGTGGGGGATCTAACAATAAGGCTAAAAGTAAGCTTTTTCTTTTGGCAACGTGTTTTAAAAAAAAATTAAAATCTTTTATTTAAAATAATTTTTTTTTATATATTTTCAAATTGTTAATATGCTAATATTAAAAATAATTTTTAAAAAAATAAAAAATATTATTTTAATATATTTTTAAATAAAAATATTTTAAATCGTGTTACATAATCTCAAACAAATAAACAAACAGACAGACGCAGACAGACGCAAATAGCAAACAACTTCCATGAATTATGGCTAAATCTTGGACAGATAGTTTTGCTGCAAACCTGGTGAAATTCACCAGTCTTCGGCAAAGAACCCCCCATTTTTCCATTAAAAAATAAAAAGGAAAAAAAAGAGAGAGAACCCGCAAATTCAGAATTTCGACTGGATGCTCCAGTTACAATAAATAAAAACTCGTGAGATTACAGTGGTTTTCCATGGTGACAGTCGTTCCATGATAATTGCTACTGCAGGCCCACGAGGAAACAATGTATCAGGGAAACTAGGGTAATTTCCAATCTTTCCAATCTACAAGGTTTTATTCCAAGTCGTATTTTTCACCTTCAAAGGCAATATGAAGTTCGTGGATTTCATATTCTCATAAAGACGTCAATAATCCATTCAATTTGATCGACAAGAAACTACTGTTTTTTAGCAGAGTTTTATTTAACGTACAAGGACTCGGTGTTCTATCATCTCTTACAAACAGAACATGGCATGGAAGAAACCATGCATCTTATCAAGGATTTTCAATTGAGGATTTGTTATGGGAAGACACGAAGGCTGAGGAGGGGAATCTTCTTTCTTCTCCTTTTTCCTTCTCCTAAGCTGGAAGAACTGCTGCATTACATCTGCACACTCAGATTCCAATATTCCTCGCCGAATTGTCATCTTTGGATGGAAAGGATGGACGGGAGCAGCTGGCTTGTTAGATAGTTCTGCGCCATTTTCTTCTCCCGCATCAGGAAAAAGCCTGCAAAAATTGTACACGTGAAGATTTTTGGTTGAGTCTGCTGAAGGTCTAATAAAGTTGAATCTAACTGGTTTGCGAATGGTGGCTTGTTCTAAGTCTCTGGGCCCTAAATCCCATTCTAGCACAGATTGTATGCTTTGCTTGGTAACTGGAACGAGTAAAATTCATATAATATCACCAGCCATTTCAGTTAAACTGGGAGAATGGCCATAGAAACCAATTAATCATCTTCTTTCCAATTAAAAAAAAAATAGCAAAAGCAATAGGAAATAAAAGACTGATTTTAGTAAGGGCGAAGCTTGTGCTCTATTAATCATGTTTTGATCCACATACGCATTATGAGCGCTATTAGCATTGATGACATTGATACAGAAACGGGGAAACCATTCACAAGGAAGAAAACGTGGCACATGTAACATGTATCTCAATCTTAGTACATTGTAATGGCAAGGCAATTTGAACACTTTTCCCATTGGGGTGCATAATGTATGGTCAGATCACTTTAATAACAGGTCTCTCAGCAGGAAAGGACCAAATAATGCATTTTTTTTTTTTTTATGGAATGAATATGGCACTACTGATATTTAACAAGAACAATTTAAAGAAAATGGCTTTGAATTTTTTCCTTAAATAATAATTGCTGTACAAAAGACCAGTCTCCCATTATAATGAGACTTCATGGAAGAAGTGCTTACCTAATCCAGCTTCCATCAGCTCCAAGAAGTTTATTGGGAGCTCCCCATACAAGAGTTTTTATTCTTGCTTGAAGTATTGCTCCAGCACACATAGGACACGGTTCAAGTGTTATATAAAGTGTAGTCTCCTGCGAATCAAATCATTAAACATCATTGAGCACCTGCTGTGCATATCAGCCAACTTAGAGACAGTTCCTTGAGAAGTGATTTGCACTTTGAAACTCGGCTTTCAATTGATATAGATAAGAATGCCTTTTTATCTGTTCCTTTCATATGTAAAAGCTCGTCAATGAGTAAGTTAAAATGGTTTGATAACTATAAAAACTAGTTGAGAGTGAATCCATTAACTATCAATTATTGTCTCCGTAAGATGTTGACTATTTCAACAAGAACGAAGGGAATATATAAAGTTCTCAAAAAATGGAGAAAGTACCGAAAGCCTCCATGTCCGGAGTTGGCTTGATGCTTCCCGTATACAAATCATTTCTGCATGGGCAGTGGAGTCTCGTAACTCCTCCACTCTGAAATATAAATCTCCACATAAAAAACCCAAAAAAGAGTCAGCACAATATAAGGTTTTATTCACTAGTGCATACAACTTACAGGTTGTGTCCACGAGCAATAATCCTCCCATGATGCACCAACACGGCCCCAACAGGCACCTCCCAAGAATCAGCAGCCTTCTTGGCTTCTAGCAGCGCTTCTCTCATAAACATTTCATCAGTTTTCCGCAGCTCACTTTCACGTAAATAGGCCTCTTCCCATTCATCAAATCTGTCTCTCTCAACTTGCTTGTTTCGCTGAAGCCTCCTTTGTTTTGACTCCACACCCTTCCCCTCAGAGCCTGATACTCTAATTAACATTTCACTATCAGGTCGTTCCATTGAACCACTAACAGAGACATTAGTTTTAGCAGTACCAGGACTTTCTTCCACAATGGGATCACTTGTGCTAGTAGAAGGCAATAAAACTAGTGATGATTCCTCTACTTCCGTGCTAGATGTAGCAACTTGAAAATCGTTCCCATCTTGACTCCAGCCAAGATTCTCCTCTTCAGAAGGTGTGGAAAAGCCTTTTGATGTGGACTCGCTTTTTAACATAATTGGCGGGGATGAAGTGTATACGTCAAGCTGTCTTGTTATGTTCTTTGATACAAATGTGTCAGATGCTTTTGCCTGATCTTGACTAAAAGTGTTTGTTGGTTGCAGCTGGTGAGAAGAGGCAGCTTCCTTAGGCATGCTTTCCCTTTCCCTTTTCACGTTCTCATCACTGTTTTCACCAGGTTCGTGGCCAGAAAACCATGCCTCACTAGTAACAGAATCATTTGGCGAACTCTTTCCACCTGATCTCCAAGCTGATTTAGGAGTTTCAGCATGTGAACCCCAGCGCATTCTTACAATATTCGAAATGATGTTCCAAAAGGACCTTCCAGTTCTCCTAACAACACCACTCTCAGTTTCTGTGCTACCTGCTGGTGCTTCTGTCTCTGTAGGCTCCTGAATAGATGGATCTGTCACATGCCACATTTCATCTGAGGGACCCTTCTCTCTGGAGCCCCCAGATGATTGCCTTGAGTCCTGCCTCATAAACTGTAAGTCTTCAGAATCATATTGACCTGAACTCTTTTGCCTCGGCTTCTCAGCTTCATATGCCAACTTTGTATCAGAACCTGTCTTCTCCTTTTGGATTTCAGAAGCCAATACTTCATGCCTAGCCTTCTCAACAAACTCCCCAACAAACTGCATTGATGATTCCTCTAAACGTTGAGTTGAACCAAGAGCATCTCCAGTTAAGATAAGACTTGAAGGCTCCCTGTAAATCTCATCTTTCTCATTTTTACCATATGTTTCCTGCTGGAAAACTGGAGTTCTCCCTCCAGAAATTATATATAGAGCACTTGTGCCCCTTCCTGAAGTTCCTCTGGAAATCTCTTGGTTTGCATTCTTACTTGGTGGATTAACACGTGCTGTACCTCGAGCTAACAATTGAGGTGGGGGAGGCATCATTATTGCATGTGAAGTTCTTTGATTGCCCTCCCCCACATCAACTTGTTGAATTCCCAATTGAGAAACCATATTAGCAGATGCTTGAGAATCTAAGGCAGCCTCCTGTGAGGTTCTTTCATTGCGCCTTGATTCATAAGTAGGCCTCCAAACCTCATTTCTAGATTTGAATTGAGTGACATTTTCCTCAATTTTATCAGCCCTCTCTCTTGTTTCTCGAATGGATTCCACAGCTGATGTTGATTCACTTTCCTGATCAACAATTCTCTTTCCAGAAGTTCCACCAAAATTGGTGACTGTTTTCATATCACTTGCATGGACCAGTGATGCACCAGTGACATTCAGAGAGATATCGGTGACATCTCCAGATCCTTTTCTGGTTTCAGTTCCCTGAAGAGCTTTTTGATCTGTTTGAGGCTGGTGCTCTTTTGTGTCTGTACCTGAACTAGAAACAACACTCTCACGTCCCTCCTGCTTCTTAATTCTAGTTTCTGATTGTAAAATCAAAGTGTTTTTGCTACTACTGTCATGAACTTCTGATATTTTAGATAACTGTTGTGAACACCTTGATTGAACTTCTCTTCTTGTCTTCCCGCCCATTTGGAATTGTTGCTCATTTGTCTCATAAAATGACCCTAGAGCTCTATCTTCTTCCAGAATATTCATTCTAGGCTCGGATTGCCTCTGCCAATTTGAAACTCTTTCAGTTCTGACATTCTCAAGGGTTGATGTGTCGATGCGTTGGTGAGTGTTTCTTTTTATATTGTTTTCTGCAGCAGTTTCACCTGCTTCTTCATAACGTTCATCCCTTCCTTCCCAAACCAAATTCACATCTACCAGGTTTTCTTCTCTACCACTGAACCGCTTTTGGGATTGGGAAGTTGTTTCGACATTTGTTCCACTGCTCTCCAGTTTATTAGTAATTTCCTGGTCATTTCTTCTGAATTCAGATTGCTCTTTCACATGATCACCCATCTGACCATATTGCTTTCTTGTTCCTTTCTTCAAATTAACTGCCAAGCTTTTCTCTTCCTCGTCATCAATTTGCCTATGAGAACCTGATACATTCTTGTAATCACTTTCAGTGGTTCTTGCCATTCTTGATTGCATTTGTAAGGATTCTCTTCCTGATCGTGTCTCTTCAATCTCAGAAAGTTTCTTCTCAGATTTCTTCCTCAAATTCCACTCAACACCAGTCCTTCTTGTACTAGTTCCTGCTTCCAAAA